AGGCAGCAAGGGACCACCCATATGAGACCAGGCAGGCACACGTCTTCCAAGGAATAGTCCCTGAACGGGGATAGAGGTGTCGTTGTTCCTCACTCCTAGTAGGGCTTTTCTGCCCTGGCCCAGTGCCCCGAGGCCTCTCCTGCCCTGGCCTCAGCTGGCCAGGAAGCAGTTCCTTCCTCTCCCTTGCTGGGAGAGTACTCTGAGTACCTTTTAAATTCCCTACGGTGGCACCAGTGGCTGGTGTCATCAGCTGACCACCACCTAAGTTGATTGACAGGGAGTTTTTAAATCGCCATGGCAGTGCCATGCGCTGCACAAGCTCTGGCTAGCCCTGCCCTGAAGGTAAGTTTTCTGTTTTCCCCAGGATGCTCTGCTTGGCCCACTCTGGGTCAACTGGGAATCCTGGGGTACTTGGGGGGGGGCAGGGAAGCGTGTACAGATCCCCTTGTCACACTGGGACATTAGGAACAAAAACAGAGAATGTTATTTGGGTATGAGATGGAAAAGAGACTAAGTTTGGGAAAGGCATTGTATATTTTATGTAAGATACGACTTTCTTCTGGAAAGAGGAAAGGGTGTGTTTTTAAAAAATTGTATGTAAAGTCTTTCAAAGCAGATCCTTCCCCTCTGCTGTCTTCTCTAGGTTTTAAGCTCCCAGTAGGATAATCCCTCATTAACAGAATGCTCCACAGCTGAATGTCCATAGTAGGGTTGGCTGCCTCTTCTTAAGGAGACAGACCACCCTATTACATACCTCCACACTGCCTACAAGAGTAGAGTCTAAGACTTGCTCTTCCAAATTTAGTTTCTCTCCTTCTCATGAAAAGAAGTCTGTATCTTCATGTGCAATTCCTGATTGATGGCAACTCCCAAAGTGCAGTTGTAATGCTGGGAACCAACACATTGGTCTGGGGTTGGTTTGTCACATTGCATTCAACCGTATTAGAGGGCCATGATTGCTAGCCAAACTAAACGGGGCCCCAAGGAGATAATACTGACAACCTCCACTGACTACCTTATGGCAAGGCATTCCTTCTCAAGGTAGTTTTGCTTTCAGGGAAGAAGTTTCTGCCTTAAGTGTACGATAGGGTGCTCTCCATACTCAAAGTCCTGAGAGAATAGCCCCAAGGCCTCACTTGGAGGCATCCATCTATAAACAAAACCTATGGTCAAAGTCTGGATTGTGCAACATTGAAGCAGTACATAACATCCATTTTATTTCTCTGAATGCCCTTGCACATACTAGAGACCACTGCTTAGAGATCAGGTTATTGTCCAGAAAGTCTGAAATACAGTTACTGACAAAAAATGCAGAATAAAGCACCAATAGTAACTTGCCAATCTGAGCAAGGACTTCAGTTGTTTGGGATACTGGCACCTCCATTAAGACCTTTACCTTATCAGTGAGTGGTCTCATCTCCCCTTTGTCTAAAGCATACCTCAAGTTCTTGATTTCTGCATAGCCAAGTCAGTATTCTGCTGGATTTGCCACAAGGCCTGAAGCTGGAAGCAACTGCAGCACTGACCTGACCAGCTGGAGATGTTCCTTCCAGGTACTTATGAACATGACTACATCATTAAGGTAGGCTGCGTTATACTCTTGATGTGGCTGCAACACCTTGTCCATTGCTGTGGAAGGAAGGTAGTTGGGGCACCACAGAGCTTGAAGGGAAGGGTTCTGAACTGACACAGGCTCTAAGGTGCTGGGGATGCTGTTAACTCCTGGGACTCTGGAGTTAGGGAATCTGTCAATAACTGTTCATCAAATCCAGTGTTATATATTTAGCCTTCCCCTGCCACTGTAGTAATTCATCAGCCCAGGACATGGTATACATCAAACTTCAATACCACGTTCTGTTTCTGGAATTGATGCAAAACTGGATGGTCTTGTCCAGTTTGGAAACCTATATGATTGGACTGCTCCACTCATTTGGAGACTCTTCAATCACTTCCATATCCAGAATACTCCATACTTCTTTTCTTAGTTTCCCATATCACTGTAGCATTCTGGAGAACACTTTTTTTGGACAGGGCACCTTGGTTTCAAGACAATGCTATGACAGTCAGGGTGGTTCTCTTGGGTTTACCTGAACACATCTGAAAAATCCTCCAGTAGGGCCCTTGCTGCCACTTTACTGAGCTATGGACAGGTTCTCGCCAAGGATGACCATACCAATTAGGAGCTGAACTGTCAGCTCCCATATTTTCTACCAACTAGATTTGAGGCATTAAGCATTTCTTGGGCCCTCCATGGTTTTGGGAGATTTATGTGATATATGTGGGACCCACATTATCTCCTGATTTATAGTTGACCTCCCCAGCTCATCTCTCAATCTCTTAAGGCCCCTGCCATTTGGCTAATAGCTTGCTTCTAGCAAAGGGAGTTAAGAGCAGGACTCAGTTCCCCAGCTGATATACTCAGTCATGCATTCTTACTATAGTGACATTCTTAAGTCTCTTGCACAGTTTGGAGATTTTCCTGGATGAATGCTCCAACAAGTTGCAACAGTTCCTGTAGCTGGAGAATACTGTACTACATTTTGAGATCTCAGGCTCTGTCTACCAGGTCTCCTTGTAAGTGGGTTACCTAGCCAGTTGTGAGGCTAGGCATTGGCATTTAGACCTGTAAGGGGGGAAGTTTTCAGTGAGTCTTGGGCCCAAAACTTGAGGGAAGTGAAAGAAGCTGCAAGATGTACACAGAGACAAGGAGGGCAAGTGGGGTGGGGGATTAGGCATTCAGGCAAACAGTGGAAGTGGAGCCGTGATCAGCAATTACCTGGTGGCACACACAATGGCTGCTCAGTGGGGGAAGAGCCCCTGTAACTGTTTACTGGGATTTTTTAAAATTTCATTTTGTATTTCATATTACAGTAAAAGCTCTGTTATCTGGCATCCCTTGGGAATGAGGGATGCCAGATAACAAAATATGCTGGTTAATTGAGCGGCCCAGGCCGCTATTTCTCCTGCCCCGTCTGGGGTGTCCCGCCACCCCTCCTGCGGCATTGCTGCACCTCCCGCAGGCCCTGCAGGACAGGGAGGCAGGCCCCGCACAGCCTGTTATGGCCATGGGGGCTCAGAGAAACCGGAAGTGCCATGGTGGGCACTTCCAGTTTCACTTTATCTTACAAGCTGGCATGCCGGCTTGTAAAATACCGGTTAACAGAACTTTTACTGTACTTTGAAACTGAATAAAGTCTTTGTGAGAGAACCTTTTGGACACCTTTGATAACAGGCTCTGGGGGTTGATGCAAGAGTGGTTTCACAGGGGGCAGGGGGAGGTAAGGGAAGGGAAGAGGACATCCTTCCTGCAGGAGGAAGGGGGTGCTATGGGTGCAGGACAAGGGGGGATGGGTGTTTGGTTGGTTGGTTTGGGGTGCTGAGTCAGGAAGGTGCCTGAGAAGAAAGGACTTTTAACAGAAAACCATGGGGAGGGGGCGGAGATGACTGTAGGCACTGGGGAGGGGAAAAAAAAAGGTCTGGATAGTCTCTCTAGGCAGCCAAACTGTGAAAGCAAAGGTTCTTAAGTAAAAAGTGTAAAATACAAAGAAAAAATGGGGGGGGCTAATGCTGTAATATGAGGTGCGCCTACAAACCCTGGGCACATCTGGATCATAGTAACCAGAGATGCAGGAAACCAGAATGACATGCAAATAGAGCATTTGATAAGACAATGCCTCTGACTGAGCTGAAAATGATTCACTGACTGGCAAAAAAAATTGTGCTTATGTGAGGTTCAGCCAGTGGAGGGAGTGTTTCCCAAAATGAGCACTCCCACCTTTGTGCTCTGAGGTTCCACTAGAATGCACCCTGGCTTTCTCTGGCCAAGGTAATGGCTGCAAGCATCCAAACAGGCTTTGCCCAGCAGGCAACAATTTCTTCTGGTCTTTGAATCAGGGGCTCCACTGGAAACCCCAAGAGGTCCCCCCACTGACGGAAGAAACTTGGGGGGGGAAGGGGGAGGACTGTAACCAAAATCCACCGAAAAAATAAACCAATCACCAAATACATTCCTAAACTGCCCCCTGCTGTAATTTAGTATTATGAGGTCAAGAGGGTAAAATTGTTGAGGTACCTCCTAGTGTCTTTTACCAGTAATAGCATATTAATCCATTATGAGTCTTAAACATGTTACGTAATGTAAATGTAACGTCATTCTTTGTGGTACATTGCGAGTGGGAAAACCTAGGGAATGTCTTTAGCTAGAGAGAACCGATACCATGTACAAATGCCCATTGTGCCCAGCAACCTTTACCAGACCTTGGACTAGGTCCTGCCCCTGCCCAAAACTGCTTCTCTTGTAACTGAGTGGCACTTACTGAATGATGTAGGCCAAGATCCAAACAACTCAGGGTCAAAGGGGAATAATCCATCTAAGCAGCCTTTTAGGGGTTCTTGCCTACTCTTGCAAGATGCAACACTATTTGGTCATTGGGCCCTAGTCTCAGCCCACTGCCACTGGGTAGGTAGTATGCTGGGCAATGGCTGCTGTTGTTTTCACTGTCTGGCTCCCAGCTGTTAGTTCTATTTTTGTGGTGGGACAGGGCCTCACACCTCCATGAATGTAGATCACATACATGTACTCTATTGCTGTCAGCTGGTTGGGGTCAACAAGCCATTTATGGATGACTTGTTCAAAGCCTGGAGCCACTAGGCTGAGGAGCTCAGTACCCTTTAAGTGAACCCATGCAGCCCTTCTGCTCCAGGGCCTCCAGACCCAAGAGATACAAGTCAGTACATAGCGGCAGGTCACCTGTGGGTAACCCCTGCACTAGCGGCTTAGTTTTCCATACCTGAAACAGACCAAGAATTCCCATTTTTTCTCACATGGGCAACATATCACAAAGTGCATCCTCTTCTATTCCCAAACTATCTGCCCTGTATCGTTAAGCCTACCTTTGCCGTTGGGGGGGATTGGGAGCAGGATTCACTCCATGCCTGACACTATGTTCCCTGGGCCCAGGTACGTCGTGGAACTGCTCTACGGTTATTAACTGTTTGTTATGGCTGAGCAGGACTCTGGCTTAAAGCCCGAGCGTACAAAGACCCAGGAGAGGTTGAACAAATGTCTGGGACTGGGACACACGGAGCTCAGCCATCACCGCCAGCTCGCCAAGCCTGCGCTGCCTTCGAGGCCGGTGGGAGGCAGGGGCTAGCGGCGCGAGCGAGGCCGCTCTGTACGAGGCGGCGGCAGCGACCCGGCCTCTGCCCTTCCCCGAGCCCAGGCCGAAAAGCAGGGCGGCAGCGCCCAGTCGGACGCAGGCTACCCTACCTCTTCAGGCCTAGCCCCTATTGGCTGGGGTTTGTCACGTGACAGTGGAGCGCGTTGCCTGTAGCGCGGCCGGACGCGCCTGAAAGAGGAAATGACGCCTACTTTGCATTGGCCGATGTTGGTCACGTGAGCGAGGAGCGTCGCCTATTGGCTATGGGGGGAGGCTGCAGCGTTAGGCTGTGCGCCTTACGTGAGCACGAGCCCCATATGTGGTCTGCCAAGGTGCAGGCTCGGGGCCTGGGCTGGGGCCGGAGC